GCATGTACCAGAAGGCTGGGGTACAACTGGAACAGCCTGTCTTCAATTTTTTAGTTACAAAAGAAAAATTTCTATTAATACTAGTTGCGTTTTAAGATATTAAACTTTTTTTTAGCTCTTCAAACTATTTTGAACATCTTGTTCTTTGATAATATTATAACTAAGTAATGTCGTCTGAGGTCAGTTTTTATGACTTGGGCAACCTCCAGATTTCTATTGGAGATGGTCAATCCTGGCCCTGCCAGTGCCAAGAAGCCTTAAAAATTAACACAAACTTAGTGACCCAGGGAGTCAAGACCCATGTAAAGAGAACTAAGATTCCCTGCCTGCCCATCTTCAGTTCCAAGAAGTAGCTATAGCTACCCCTCACTTTAGGTTTGTCAGTGACTATTTAAAGTGTTATTCTATTTTAAAGGTATAATATTATACATTCACTCATCTTATACTCTCAATTCTTGCACTTTAACACTCTCTTGAGCCATAGTGAGGTTCTTTTTAGGGCATGACTTATTTTTAAATTCTTTGTTGTTATTCCTGACATTACCACCTAGCCCAGTTTATAATATTGTCAGTGTCTGGCATGTTTTCCCATCAGTGTTGTTTTTTTGGGGGGCGGGGGGGGGGTTCAGGTAGGTGGCAAATGTGGTTTGGTTTTGCTTCCTGGTCTGTGTTGGCAAGAATCCCAAACATTGGTAAGAACTGGGTAAATGGCCTGGATTCTTCCTTACACCCTTTGCAGTTCCAGAGAATAAGGGAAGGAGGGAAAAAGATTCTATTTGCCTGTTTCTCCATGAGCAGGCAAGAAGCAAAAAGAAAAACAGAAGTTTGTTGAGACAGGAAATTAAATTTCAAATGTACTAGGAAGTAGCTGAGAATTTTAAGCTTCAGAAACCAACTGTTTTCTCAAGTCCCAAATCTACTACTACCAGAAATATCAGAAAGGATTTTCTTTCTCCGTTTTTTAAAACAATGAATGTCATCCTCATTCTGATTGCTTATTGTGAAGAAGCTACTCCAGTAGCAGTTTGATCAGAGAAGCATGACTGAACAGGTTTCATTCTTCTCCTACATATTTCCATTTTACTATTCAGGATTATAATAATAATTATTATTATACTAATAGAAACCCAATCACAGAAACTAAAGAGCCTAGGCTGTAGAGCCCTCTTTGGGAATGGAGCTCCAACAATTTCAGAAATCTGTTTCTTCCCAACTCTGCTCTCATTTCCTCAAGTTGCTTCTCTCTCAGGCTCACTTTCTCTGCACACTGACCAGGTTCATATTCTAGCAGTTCAGCAAAGAATGTGCTATTTCCCAGGTTGTCCCAGGAAAGACCCTTATTGGCCCCTGTAGATCATGTGCCATCACTGAGCCAATTGCTGTAGACAGGCTCTGTGCTTTGATTGGACAAGTCTAAGTCAGGTGCCTGCTGCTAGAATCCTCAGTAGTAATATCAGTTCAACCTGGACCAGAAGGAGGAAGATTGTGCAAGGTGTTTGTCAAAGAAAAATGAGAATATCATTAGCAGAAATAGAAATGGATGCTTCAGAGCCAGGACTACAGAGGCCAAAGAGGTACCACAGGGCCAAAGATAAAGAGGACACTCATTTATCAGGTTCAAACAGGGTGGGTTTTGAGAGTGAGCATCTCCTCCCTCACCTTCCTCTAGAAAGAGCCATAGATGCTAAGCAAGCAAAAAACAAAATATATATTACATCCACATTCAAAATTATTTCCCAGAGGGCCTGCACGTCTTACCAGCAGAGATTCGTTTCTTTGGCTAGGCAAGACATGTCCAGAAATACCTTAATTTATAATTTCATTTTTCTCTCCTCTTCCTCCTCCTCCTCCTCTTTCTTCTCCTCCTTCTCCTTCTTCTTTTTAATTTTCCCAAACACTGAAACAGAAGAGGACCAATCTTTAAGTCAACAAAAGTTTCCACTACACATGTTAATGATAGAATACCAATAATAGACTATTGCCTCCAAGCCAAACACCTTTTGAAAGTTGAATCCCATAACAGTGTGGAATTCTTTGCTGGTTTGCAACATCTGGGAAGGTTTATCTGGAGTTCTGATGATAGTGTTACAAAAAGAAGGATGAATCCTGCCAACAACAAATCCTTAGGTATTCACATTACTGGCATCTTTGGAGGCTTAATTTTCCCCTACAGCAAGGCTTTAAGGAAAAACTTGAAGAGTTATGAATTGTGTGTCCCTCCTAGGCCTAAGGGTAAAAATCAGTCTTTAAACCACAAGATAAGTAAGCCAAGTGCCTCCTACATTTAGCACTAATAAACACAATTTTTTCCATTCCTCGTGTCCCAGGAATTCAATCATCCATCCTTTTCTGAGTCTCTGGTTGCCTTTAGCAAAGAAAATAGCTTACATAACTGAGATATATCTGCCTCTCATAACAACCAAGTTTCAAATTTTTCATCCACTTAATAATGATCAATATATAAAGCAAGGATTCTACTATTAGTCGGAGGCTACAGTTGGGAATATGGTTGTCCATTATGTCAACCCATAATAGATCCAAGTATTACTTAGAAACCAAAGTGGCTTGCTCCATAGACTCGAGCTGTCTGCATCTGGAGGCAGACAGTTCAAGTGCAAATCTTCACTAATAAGAGATTAGTTGTCAAGAGTTTCACATATACATCTTATTAATAGACTACCAAGTCAGCCCCTTCCAGGGTCAGTCCTAGTTAAATACCCCACCTTTTCCACTGTAAGGGAAAGGCCTGGAAAAAGAAAGAGAAATGACCAAGGCCATACAGACAGGAATCCCTAAAAAGAAGAAAAGGCTTAATTTTCTGCTACAGTAAGAGATTAAGGAGAAACTAGAAGACTTATAAATTGTGGGTCCCTCATAGAACTAAGGGGAAAATCAATCTTTAAACCACAAAATAAATAAGTCAAGTGCCTCTTAAGTTTAGTACTAATAAAGACAATTCACTTTTATTTGTTATTCTAAACTATGTCACCACAGATATAGCTGCCTCTGTTAACCAGATGACAGTAAACCTTAGAATCTTATAACTCACTCCCCTATTTATTGAGCAGCTTTCTCCATATAAAATGCCTTCCACTGGAAGGGCCTGCAAGGAGAGATGGTAGCCAGAAAGTTTGGTGCCCTCAGCAACTGTCCTTTCACAGTGACCATTTGTTTTCTATTCCATTGGCAATTAACAAATCCACATTCTGGTTGTAAATATTGGAATCAGTATGTTGAGAATCAAATTTCTGTCCCCACAAAGCTTAAAGACAGATGTTAGACCAGGGCACTTCGACAAAGCAAAACACTTCTACACTCCCAAAACTCTGCAGTGTAAAACTCCGAGTTCTCCCAATCTGACTTTCACCAGATATCAAATTGACCAGATATCAAATTAACCAAGCATTGGCCACTTAGGCACACACTTCTTTGACCTATCAGTCTTCAAACTGGAAAAATTAGATTCTATAAACCTATGAATACCTTTTTAAATTCTTCCCTGGCCTAAGGATACTATCAGATGAACTCTTTGCAAAAGATGATAATTTGCATAGACTCTTTAAATTATTGAGTGCAATAAATACTTACATGCAAAGGGCTGTGCTACATGTGGTGGACAATTCCAGGCTGAAAAGGATAGGGCATCAACCCTCAGAGTTGGTGCTCCAGAAGAGGAGCACAATAATAACTCTCTTGAAAGGCAAACTATCCTAATTGCTGTGTGAAAAGTATAAATATGAGTTGGGGATATAGCCCAGTGGTATAGTGCTTGCCTAGCATTTATGTGGCCTGGAGTTTGATCTCCAGTACCACCAAAAAGAAAAAAAGGCATAAACTACACTGTACTGACATTATAGAGAAAAGGAAAAGATTTAGTTACAACTGTATCTCAGAGAAGACTTCCTGGAAAACACTGGGACTGCACTAATTCCAAGGAGAATTATAATCCAAGCAAAGGGGAGGGGAGGTGGGCTCAGCAGCTCTGGGAACATGCCTCCCATGTGACTGGGCATCTGGACCTTGGCAAGGAGGCATGTATTTTGAGACCAGATGGCCAGGTGAGAGACAAACTGGGAGGACTCTGTGTCTTAAACCACTGAGTTTGGGGGTGCAGGAGTGCTTTGCCACATATGGAATCATGATTATTTAAACCTTAAACTATCATGGGTATAGTTTTTGAGCTCCTCCTTTGTAAAAAGACACATCCATCCCAATTGCATTCACAGTTGGCCTCCATATCCAAGGTTCCACATTTTTGGATTCAAATAACTGCATATCAAAAATAATTTGGAAAAATTTTTTTTTCATCTGTACTGAACATAGATATTTTTTTTTCTTCTTACTGGGCCCCAAACAATGCCATATGACACCTATTTACACTGCATTTACAATTGTATTAGGTAGTATAATCCAGAGATGATTTCAAATATATGGGCAGATGTGCATAGGTTACAGGGACTTGAGCATTCCTAGGTTTTTATACCCATGGGAAGTCCTGGAACCAGTCCCTCACTAATAGAAGGACTTCTGATCCCTCTTTCATTCTTTTGCTTCCTTCAAAAGATTTACCTGCCCAATAAATACCTCAAAACAAGAGCATCCAAACTATGAGCCCAATAAAAACCCACGGTATCCAAGCAGAGAACAATGTCACCTTTTACTCTGAACTGAGACAAGACTGCAGCAGGAGAAATGCCTAGGAGCCTAGCTTAGGTGGTGTTTTCTCAGCATCTCAGAGAGACCTCTCTGGCTCCTTCAGAAAAGGTGTGCTCCTCTGCCTTCCTAAGCTTCCATTAGCCTGGGATTCAAAGATCCCAAGAGCTCAGGGAAAAACCCTCAAAATCCCGGGCGAGCCAGATGTAAGCGGGGACATCTGCAGCAACAACAGCACAGGAAGTTCTGGTCCTTCCAGCTTTCCGGGATTTCCAGTTTAAACTCTTCCCGGAAACCTTTCTTCAGGCTTTTCTTGCGAAATCTAGAAGGCCCTCCCTCCTCTCTGGCTTCTTAAACCGCGGAGAGCAGCGAGCTGCAGGAGTGAGCTGGAGGGGACTTCCCGCAAAGCTTCTCTCTCCGGGCCAGACCCGTGGCGCGCACGCTGCAGCTCCGCTGGACCCCAGCACCGGGAGGCGCTCATCCCGCAGGTGGGTGGGTCACCTTTCCGGCTGTACCTTTCTCACACGGCCTTATCTGCCTCCTCCCACCTGAATACTGCTTCCAGATCCCCACTCCCCAGCCTGCTCGCACTGAGGTGTATTCAAACTCCCCAGCTCGCCCCTCATCCCTCTCGGGGGGGAAAAGTCACCCCAAGTCGCCACGCTATCAGTTCAACCAACTTCTAACTTCCTCAAGTTTTATCGCTTATCACCCAGCGTGCAGACAAATCCGAAAGAGGAAGACAGATGGGTTGGCTTCGTTTCTACTTCTTACGCCTGGATTGGTGCACATCTTTGTCACCCATCAGAAGGGACTCTTGAAGAATGTGGGTTGGCAATCAGAACTCAGATCTAAGGTCACATCTTGACCATGAGCTGAAAATTTGTCCTGAGTTTGACACCCTTTTGCATCCTTGATGGTGACTTAAACTTCCTTAAGCGGTTTAGCAATTGTGGGGATTTTTAGAGTATTATTGTTTATTATTGTAATTTACATGTGAAAAGACAATAAAACCTTGGTTCTCAGTCCAGAGACAAGTGAAAGGTAGTTCCCCCACCCCTAGAGTGCAAATTTGAGCACGTTTTTCTTTTTTCCCCCCATATAAATATGTACTTTATTCTTTATTGGTCCATTATAATTCAATGAAATAGTGGGATTTGTTGTTACATATTTGTACATGCACACAATATAACCATATAATTTAGTCAATTTCTTCCACACTATCCCCCCACACTTTCTCTAGTCTACTGTTCTCCCTTTATTTTCATGAGAAACCCCACCTTTGCCCTGACCCACTTTTTTCTCTCTAGCTTCACATATGACTTTAGCTTATTTCATCCATTTTCCTTAAAATAACATATAATTTCATTCTTCTTTATGACTGAATAAAACTCAAGTATATATTCAAATATAAATATATTTTATTTATCCATCCATGGGCAGACACCTAGACTGTCTTAATATGTTATTTATTGTGAATTGTACTGCTATAAACATGGGTATGCAGGTGGTGCTATAGTACAACTTACTTTAATTCTTTTTTTTATTGTTGGTTGTTCAAAACATTACATAGTTCTTGATATATCATATTTCACACTTTGATTCAAGTGGGTTATGAACTCCCATTTTTACCCCATATACAGATTGCAGAATCACATCAGTTACACTTCCATTGATTTACATATTGACATACTCATGTCTGTTGTATTCTGCTGCCTTTCCTATCCTCTTCTATCCCCCCTCCCCTCCCCTCCCCTCTTCTCTCTCTACCCCCTCTACTGTAATTCATTCCTCCCCCTTGTATTATTTTTCCCTTTCCCCTCACTTCCTCTTGTATGTAATTTTGTATAACCCTGAGGGTCTCTTTCCATTTCCATGCAATTTCCCTTCTCTCTCCCTTTCCCTCCCACCTCTCATCCTTGTTTAATGTTGGTCTTCTTCTCGTGCTCTTCTTCCCTAGTCTGTTCTTAGTTACTCTCCTTATATCAAAGAAGACATTTGTCATTTTAGAAGAGATATGAAGGAGTGGTATAACTGGGTCATATGATGGTTCCACTCCTAATCTTTTGAGGAAATTCTGTACTGATTTCCATAGCAGTTGTACTGATTTACAATCCCACCAATAATGTAAAAATGTTCCTTTTCCTACATCCTCTCTAGCATTTATTATTTGTACTCTTGATGGCTGCCATTATAACTGGAATGAGATGAAATCTGTAGTTGATTTTCATTTCCCTAATCGCTAAAATTTTTTAACTTTTTTTTTGCATTTCTCCTTTTAAGGAGTGTTTGTTTAGTTCATTTGCCCATTTGTTGATTGGGTTACTTGGTTTGCTGGTTTTTGGGGTTTTTTGTTTGTTTGTTTGTTTTTTGTATTTTTGATAGTTTCTTGAGTTCTCTATATATTCTATATATTAATCCTTTATCTGAAAAGTAGCTGGCAAAAATTTTCTCCCATTCTGCATCCTTTCTCTTCACATAGTTGAGCACTTTCTTTAAGAGATAATTAGTGTAGTGGAATATGAGTTGTATGGAATATGCAGGTGGAGTAAGAGAATTCTATTCCTAGTTCTAACTAGAAACTCAATATCCCATCCTCAGTTTCTGCAGGTGTAAAATGAAAGGCTGTTGGCCTCAGTGATCCACAAAGTCCAACTCTAACAAGATGAAAAGCCATGTGACTTAAGATGCTGTAGGTTTGAAATATGATAGGAATTTAGCCAATGATATAAGTACATCTAAGTAATTTTTTTTTCAAAATAACACAGGGTTAGTTTTTATAAGGAAACCACCCAGCTGTGGAGGAAAGAGTCTCATCCCACAGGAGCATCTTAAAGTTCTACCACATTTATCATTCAGAGAATACTCTGCTTTCAAAACCATTCTTCATAGCCTTGCTATGTGAGAATGTCCTATTCTCTATAAATGGCCATCATATAAATGTCACTCACATGAAAGAACACTTTTTTTCTGTTACAGTAGGTGTAATTTTCTAAAATGGCACATTTATTTGAAGCAGTAACTTTTTTGAGATATGGCCTTTTGCAAGGCCCTGGTTTTTTCAGAGTGCTGTGATTTAGCACAGTCTGAGAGTCCTCCTGCATGTATTCCACCTGCATGGCAAATACTGCCAGCCCAGAAAACAAGATGAAGCACCCTCTATTATCTGGCTTCGAGGTTGTAAAGTAAATGGTACATGTGTACAGAGAAATTGGGTCATAGCACTTTCTCCATTTGGCAACAGTTATGGTTTTGCCAAAGTTCACATAGCAACTGGAGGCTCAGAAACCAACATATACATGGCCTAACCCTGAACTTGAAATACTTCCAGATACCTGTCTTGCTTAGTCTCACTAACTATTGTTCAGAAGGAACCAAATAGATTTTTTTAAGTCTGTAAGTAAATTGAAAATCCTAGACCTGGCACTGTGTTGTGAATAACTTTAAGAAAAATAGGTTTATTTGTCATAGAATTTTAAAATTGAAGAAACCCTGAGTAATCACTTGTGCTACTCTTTCTCTTAAAGGACTACCCCTAAATCAGCCATTATTAATATCATTATTAAAGAGATATAGATTCTCCTTTCAAAGTCCAAGTAGTTGAGTCTGCAGTCACTTTCAGAAGCACATCTTAGTGTTTCATGATTTCTGCCATCTAGTTCTCTTCATAATTAATTTAAATATTTTTATCCACCTCTAATTAAAAGTCATTTTCTATGTGTGAGGCCCTGGGGTCAATCCCCAGTACTGAAAAAAAAAAAAGTCATTTCCTTGGAAATCTTAAGAAAGCCCATAAACTGCTAGCAAAACAAAATAAAACAATACAATAATCCTTTAAAGCTTGAGGAATTGTTAGGGTACCTTGTAGGTAGTTTTCTCTGTGTTATCCTCTGAGGAGGAAGGCATTTGTTAAGTGCCTGCATCTATATCTACCCATAATTCCTATAAGAATCTAGAATAAACTGCAGATAATGAACTTTTTCTGGATTATCTTTTGGGTTCTTCAAAGTTTAGGTTTGATAATAATAAAAATAAGGCCTTGTCTCAAAGACAAGGTCTCTGAGGTTACCAGTTTCACACTTCTTTACATATACAAAAAGAATGATTAATTAGTTCATTATGAAGAGTTCCAGATTAGTTCTACAGGAAACACTAAATCTACTCAAAAATTTTCAATGAATTGTAGGTCATTTCCAAGATGATCTGGATTAACACTCGTTATTTTGTTAGGAAGAAATTAGTCCTACAAGGAATAAAGCTAAGTAAATAACTAGAGGATAATTAATGCTTAAAATAATGTATAGTAAGAAAATATACTTGGCCTGTATACATAAACAATTTGTTGTTCCAAAATAATTAAGGATCAAAAAGCAAAGAATATTGGCACTATTTCAATATCATCTTTCAGAAATGCATCACTGCAAAAAGAATGCATTAGTCTACTAAATATTTCTACTCTAATTAACTAGGAAGGACATTGGCATCCTAATCCAAATTCTTCTTCACAATGTTCTCAAAAAAATTATTTAGCTACGCATGGAGAGTTCATAAGGCCTTGTACTTTGACAGTCACATGTTTCTCAAAAGTTATTTTGAGAGAGAGCTTCTTTTAAATGTAGATGATATGATCGGTCTTAAGGTCAGGATAAAGTTCACTTTTCATCCTAAAAGGAAGAAAAATGTGTGCAAAGAGTATTTTTCAAGTTAGGAACTATTCTGAATAAAGAGAAGACTAACAGATAACTTAATAGAACTATAGAATATGCCTCTTAAAAGTGTTTTAGAAGAAAACAAACTAGTAATTGTCTTTGGCATCAGCACCCAATAGTCAAAAAAAAAAAAATGCATTAAGAACAGAGCTAGAAGATTAAAGGCAGGGTGTGGTGGCACAGGACTGTCACCCTAGAAGCTCTGGAGACAGATCCAGGAAGATCTCAAATTCAAGTCAGTTTAAGTAAAACCCTGCCTCAAAATTTAAAAAAAAAAAAATGGATATGGCAATGTAACTGAGTGGCAGAACACCCTGGGCTCAATCCCCAGCACCAGAAAGGAAAAAAAAAATGAACAGAGCTAGAGCTCCCAGCAGGTCTGATGGCACTGCCACTGTGGACCATGGAAATAGATTGGAAGGGATATGTAATGGTGGACACTGATAGTGCATCTTTCACCTGTGTCTAGTTTTTAACAGAGTATGGAAACTTTCAGTTTAACTTTGATTCCATGTGAAATGATAGCTGGAACAACTTTGCACAGACTTTGGTAAATGTTTTTTGTCCTGTTTCCCAGTAGATTAGTGTCCCTCCTGTGGACTCCCGGCCTCTCTGAACACTCCTCTGCTCTCCCTCTCACACGGTGCATTGTGTTTGATTATGTATTGCATCTTCTTAGAGACCTCTTTGAGGACAGCGACCATCTAATTGATCACTTGATCCCTGGTACATAGCACAGGGCCTGGTACAAAGTCCATTCAGTAATAAATCTGTGTAGA